TTTTCATTCAAACAATGTGAAAAAGCAGGATTTTATATATATTTGTTTCATTCAAAAATTGTGTAAAAAGAGTTAACTGCTGTGGTGGTATGTTTTAATAAGGTTACCAATAAGTAAAAGATATTTAATAGTTGTCTATTTTTTTCATTACTATACCGAAAAAAACCGAACCGTGACTTGTGTACCGAGGTACGTACCGAACCGAGATTTGTGTGTACCGTTACACCCCTAACTATTAAAAACAAATTCAAATGTAATACAAATAAGATCATTTTAAAAAAACATTTACAACAGTAAAGCCAAAATCAATTTAATAAAAACAAAACGATAATAAAATGAAACTGAGGCATTAAAAAAAGATTGTACATGAATATGTGATTGCCCTCCATCCCCACCCCACTGTGTTTCCAATTGGCTAGCAAATTCACAGCCAACTAAGGTCAACTGACACCGGCCAGAGAAGGAGAGGGACACACCCAGAGAGACACAGAGACAGAGCAAGAGAGAGTAAATTAGGAAATAATGGCATGACCCTTCATCGAGGATCCTGTTGATGATTTGTTCACATTAACATATGGTTATCTTTTATATTTATGAATTAACCATGACACAAAGCAGCCACATTAAAATGGGACATACACCATTGTGGTCTGTCTGTTCCTCATCCTATAGCACATGCCATACATTTAAGGGGATTTTCCTTATTTTGATATAATAAAGGACAGAGCTCACAGTTGACTCCCACATGATGAGGAATAGATAACTGATTCACTCTCACCTGCATTCACTTAATAGTTTTCCTCATCTCCACTGAACTGATGGATTTGCTAAATGTCATTTTCTACAATCAATAGATAAATGTAATGTGATTATTTCCTATAAACTGATCATTTCAGAAATGTCATAATCTACAATCAATTATGTGATAAATGTGATGATTGACATAAAATAGTTTGATTAAATGCATCATCTGAACTTTACATAGGAATCAGTAGATAAATGTGATAAACAGTCTGTCACTAATATTAATTTACACATTTGGTTAATTTCATTAGGCAGACTTGAACTGTCAGATTTAACAGGTGTTCTTATCTACATATATTTTGTCCCTTTGATGCAGGATTTATAGAACATGATATTATGCTGAAATGCTGAATTTTCTTTGTCACTTACACATTTAGCCTGTCAGCAATATTCCGTCATGCCACCTCCCTTGCTTTATTAATCTGCAGTATTGCCTTTGTTCCTAATCATGTCCTTATAGTCCTCATACACTTCCATAAGGAGCGTTTGCTCCGCTGTAGAAAAATTCTCTGCTCGCTCCTTTCCTTTGCTTTTTGACATTTTGCAACATGTTCGGCACTCGACTAGTTTGGGCTTTTTATTTTTCCTGGCCGCGTGCATGAGTTGAGGCTTAACAGGTGAGGCTTGAATTAGCGTCAGTTGGAGCCAGCTGATTTCACTTGATGGAACGGGTTGGAGCTAGATTGGGAGTTGGCGTTTAGTCAAACTTCAAGATTACACCTTAGTCTGGATATTCTTAGCTACGTTGATGGAATACCCCCCTGCTGTTTTAGGTTCAGAGGAAGGTTTAAAGTTTTATAACATCAGAAACAGGTTTGACTCATTTTGACAAAAACAAATGAAAAGACAGTTAAATGAAACATAGGTGGCACGGTGGTGCAGTGGTTAGCATCATTGCCTCACAATAGGGGGGTTCCTGAACCTGGGTGAACCCCGCCTCTCGCCCAATGACAGCTGGGATAGGCTCCACCCCCCACTATTTATGTTGCTTATTTTGTTTGTTTATTTGTTTATTTCCCTTGATGACATCACATTTGTATCTGTTCATTTTACTTCCTGGGTTTCAGATTCTTTCTGAGGCCGCAGAGGTTTCTTAAATCTCACCTGCACCTCTTCTTCTTCTTCTGCTGCTGTTTTATTTCTGTTGTTTAGTGGAAATGAGCCTTAAAGACGATTTAATGACTTTTAAGACCTGATGTTTATGAAACTGAATCTGAAACATGTTGAGACTTGTGAAGGACCTGCAGATATCATCATGTGAGCAGCAGCAGCTCCGTCAGCACTGATGGAGGCTGATCCTCAGCAGAGTGAGGAGGAGGATCAACACGCTGACTTCTCAGCTGCAGAGAAAGCTTCAACCATCAGGACCGCCATATGAATCTGTGTGTGAAGTGAGCCGTGCTCTTTGTTGTGTGCAGCTGTGGAAAATATGAAGTCCATTTAGGTACATTAAGAATCACGGTACCTTCTCAGGTTCTTGGCAGCCGGAGCGCTGCAGTTTGAGACACCGCCAAAAATACTGAGGCACCATTTATTCAGCCCAGAGGAGGACAAGTGGGGGAGGAGCCACCTCGTCCTCTTTAGATTTTAACCTTCCACATCTCCATGGAGACGGAGCACCGTGCGGTTCAACTCAGAGACGCAGCAGGAAAACTTTAATGTTCTGACAAACATGTTAAGTTTCAAACTGTTCTCATTCTCGTCACAAAATGGCCCCGTGCAGGACACCCAGGGCGTCATATGGAAACATGACAGTCCACTGAGGAAACAGCGATCGCTGATGAGCTGTAGTAAGTTTGGTGTGAAGCTGCTGTTTGGAAGATGTCACAGAACAGTCAGACTTTAATGTTGGGGAGGTTTTTTGTACACTGAACAAAAATATAAACGCAACACTTTTGTTTTTGCTCCCATTTTTCATGAGCTGAACTCTAAAACATTTTCTATACACACAAAAGATCATTTCTCACAAATATTGTTCACAAATCTGTCTAAATCTGTGTTAGTGAGCACTTCTCCTTTGCCGAGATAATCCATCCCACCTCACAGGTGTGGCATATCAAGATGCTGATTAGACAGCATGAATATTGCACAGGTGTGCCTTAGGCTGGCCACAATAAAAGGCCACTCTGAAATGTGCAGTTTTGCTTTACTGGGGGGGTCTGGGGGAGTCAGAAAACCAGTCAGTATCTGGTGTGACCACCATTTGCCTCACGCAGTGCAACACATCTCCTTCACATAGAGTTGATCAGGTTGTTGTTTGTGGCCTGTGGAATGTTGGTCCACTCCTCTTCAATGGCTGTGCGAAGTTGCTGGATATTGGCAGGAACTGGAACACGCTGTCGTATATGCCGATCCAGAGCATCCCAAACATGCTCAATGGGTGACATGTCCGGTGAGTATGCTGGCCATGCAAGAACTGGGATGTTTTCAGCTTCCAGGAATTGTGTACAGATCCTTGCAACATGGGGCCGTGCATTATCATGCTGCAACATGAGGTGATGGTCGTGGATGAATGGCACAACAATGGGCCTCAGGATCTCGTCACGGTATCTCCGTGCATTCAAAATGCCATCAATAAAATGCACCTGTGTTCGTTGTCCATAACATACGCCTGCCCATACCATAACCCCACCGCCACCATGGGCCACTCGATCCACAACGTTGACATCAGCAAACCGCTCACCCACACGACGCCACACACGCTGTCTGCCATCTGCCCTGAACAGTGAAAACCGGGATTCATCCGTGAAGAGAACACCTCTCCAACGTGCCAGACGCCATCGAATGTGAGCATTTGCCCACTCAAGTCAGTTACGACAACGAACTGCAGTCAGGTCGAGACCCCGATGAGGACGACGAGCATGCAGATGAGCTTCCCTGAGACGGTTTCTGACAGTTTGTGCAGAAATTCTTTGGTTATGCAAACCGATTGTTGCAGCAGCTGTCCGGGTGGCTGGTCTCAGACGATCTTGGAGGTGAACATGCTGGATGTGGAGGTCCTGGGCTGGTGTGGTTACACGTGGTCTGCGGTTGTGAGGCTGGTTGGATGTACTGCCAAATTGTCTGAAACGCCTTTGGAGACGGCTTATGGTAGAGAAATGAACATTCAATTCACGGGCAACAGCTCTGGTGGACATTCCTGCAGTCAGCATGCTAATTGCACGCTCCCTCAAAACTTGCGACATCTGTGGCATTGTGCTGTGTGATAAAGCTGCACATTTCAGAGTGGCCTTTTAATGTGGCCAGCCTAAGGCACACCTGTGCAATATTCATGCTGTCTAATCAGCATCTTGATATGCCACACCTGTGAGGTGGGATGGATTATCTCAGCAAAGGAGAAGTGCTCACTAACACAGATTTAGACAGATTTGTGAACAGCATTTGTGAGAAATGATCTTTTGTGTGTATAGAAAATGTTTTAGATCTTTGAGTTCAGCTCATGAAAAATGGGAGCAAAAACAAAAGTGTTGCGTTTACCTCCCTGCTCTGCTGTTGTCCATTTTGTCCATTGTTTTGTCCCTGACGTCCATCCAGCAGCTGATCTGCCTCTTGTCCTGCTCTCAGTGGACACAAACTGATTTAATGCTTCATTGAGTCTCCTGGTTTAATTAAGTTGAAACCAACAAGTCCACTGGTTTTAATAACACAGATACTGCTGATGAAGAACTCAGAGGAGAAAGTTTTGGGCTCTGGTAACTCCTCATCATCAGTTTTCACACTAACAGACTAACAACTAAAGACTATCATCCCAAGACTCATCAGGAGAGAAAATGTTACCACCAGAGCCTCTGCCACTGTGATCAGATGTGTTCACATGATCAGATGTGCAGACAGACACTAACACGCAGTCTGTACGTAAGGACTGACTTTAGGGATTAAAGCTCTGAGATTCTTTACGTGAAGAGTTCATCGGAGATATCTGCACTTAATGTTCACCATAAACTATATAGATGACACAGTTATTGATTATGTTAAGACTCTGGAGATGATGGACCTGTTGAGTCTCACAAAGTTCAACAATTAGCTGCAGAGCTGCTGCTGTCACACTGTCGACATCTCAGTTTGGGTAAAAATCCTGAGTTGATCTGAGCTCCTGTAAAACTGTTGTGTGTGTTTCACCTGCAGATAATTGATGCACCAACATGTCAGTGAAAACATGGATGCTTCACACACAGAAGATCTATGCAATCAGCAGTTTCAAGATTAGAGTCACCAATTCAGTATCTGACCAAATGTCTCCCCTTCTGTTCCTGAGATATGACGTTAAAACATGATGATGTCACAGTCAAGCTGACCTTTGACAACAAAATTCAAATCAGTTTATTCTTCAGTCTAAGTGGACATTTCTGCCAAATATAAAGAAATTCCCTCGAGGTGTTCTTGAGATATCGTGTTCATGAGAACAGGACAGACAGACAGCCTGAACACACGACACCTCGACTATCAGCAGTGTGAAGGAACAAACACACAGACAGAAGGTGATGATTCTGTCGCCTGAACGTATCGTGTGAACACATGAAGTTTATTTGATTTGATTTGATGTATAGTTTGACTCAGTCCTTGTCTATTTTCATCTTTATTTTTCTGTCTGCTGTTGTTCAGGAAGCTTCTTCATGTGTTTTCTGTTGTTTTTTTGTTTTGGTGTTGGAAAATTTGAGATTCAATAAACTTTAAATGTGGAAACATGAACTAAACATTTCTGAACGCTCCATCAGTGATTCAAACTCTGTAAATTATTCAGCATTTGAGATATGTTTGTTTATATGAGCAGAGTAAAAAAGGTGTTGTTGTAGAACATGTGGGGTGATAACATGCAGTCTGACACCACACACAATGTGGTGCAATGATGTCATTACAGACATACAACATGATGACAGTGAAGACAGAAGCTTTCTGCTGCAAAGACAATCAGTGCTGCAGCTAGTTTTGATTTCAGGCTTATGTTTAGATCTCCTGCGTCTGTTTTTAAAGGGTTAAATCAGCAGGTGAGTGTGGTGACTGACCGGGCAGCGATGTAGAGCATGTGGTTGATCCTCAGCATCCTCTGGAAGTCCAGGCCCAGGCGCACGGTGTCATTGTCCGACATGAGTCCCTGGAAGCTGGGGTGGAGGTAGGAGGCTGCGGCGAGGACACGGAGAGAAGAAGAAAGTGTTTAAGTTAAAATAGCTGCTGATGTCTGATACCATCTCAGCAGAGGGTCAACAACATGACACCAACACATGACGTCACTCTGAGGTCTCATTAAATCCATCAAAGAAAGACAGAGCTCAGACCTGACTGACCTTTGACCCAGACAAACATGTAACCTTCGTCTGTCGGTGCTTTCCCAAACAGCTCCGTTCGTCAGGATCAGATATGTAAAGAGACAACAGCTCCACATTCCTCCCAACTAATCAGCAGCAGAGAAAAACTCGACACCTCTGCAGTTTAAGAAACTAAACTGAGTTTACAGTTTGTCTCATTGTGATGAAACCCGGCGGTCTCTGTATGCTAATGAGCGCTCGTGTAGGCGGACGAACAGCGAAGGAAAAAATAACATCCAAAGTTGCAAATAAGCCGCTGGAGTCACACAAGTCAGTCTGATTTAAATACTCGGCTCCTCACGGACACGTCTGGGGACGCAGCCAAGACAGGAAACAAGTCAGAACCTTCTCTCTTTCTCTGTCTGTCTGCGTGGTCACCAAAGGTCAAGGTAGTGACATCCTCAGAGCTATTTAAGCCCTTCGACCTGAAAAACCTTTAGTTACAGATGATGGTTCTGACACAGTTAACACATCGTTATCATCAGTGACCCTGAAAGGATGAAAACAGGAAGTTGTTTTGTTGAACAAACGCAGTATTCAAATGACACTAAACTATTTTTTAAAACAGAAGCATGTGTAAGAATTAGGACTGTCAGTGTTAACATGTTGATCACATGTGATCTAAACATGTGTTTTTTGTCTTTAAATCATGAGCTGTTTTGTCCCTTCAATGCACCCTTACTTGTAGTCCAGCCACAGCAGCAGCTTCCTGCTTCCTGTTGCAGCAGTGATGTAAAATAAGACACGACTGATCTTCTGAACATCTTCACTTCACAGACCCTCAGATACGTCAGCTGACGAGTCATCAGTCAATCAGCTGCAGCTCGTCTCAAACTGAGTTCAAATATCAGCTCAGACCTGAGGATCAAACTAAATCCAACACGTTCACTACAGACACTGACTGTGAGATTTATCCTGACTTCATATGAGGAAAGGAAAATCCACTAGCTGCTAGGCTAAATTATACAATGTGAAAGGCCATAGGCCTGTGCTAATAATGTTAGCATGTTGTATTTGTGGGGAGACGTGTTTAGTATAAGACCATTGTTTTGTCAGTGAGTTATAATGAAGCCGATTTGTCTTCTTATGTTTGAAATTGTGTTTTGCTGATGGGAAAGAAATAAATCTAAAAGTTCAGATTATAAAGTCAATTATTTTGGATTCATTTGATCCCAATCAAGGAGGGCTTCACCTCATTAATCTGGACTTCAAAAATGTTTTTAAATGCAAATAATGGAATTTTAAAGATGTGATTAAAAACATGATTAATGTCAGAGAGGCCTCTGGCTCACTGAGCATCCACCTCACAGAGACTGAGTCCTTCGCAGCGAGTCCCCAAATAATTCAATTAAATGAATAATTCTTTATTTTCTCTGGTATTTCTGTCCTGTACATATATGTGATGATGATTCTGTATGTTGGTGTTATTTAATGACACGTCTCTATTTGATCATGTGACGATAAGGCAGCTAGTTTAGGAACATAACAAGTATGTACCGTGCCTTAGGGCCCGTCATGATAGTGTGCACTGGGGCCTGTTGTAACGACCTTACATCTCTGTGTGGTCTGATGTACGTCAGTGTTCATACCTCAGTATACAGTTTGTCAGTATGTGATATGGGGGGGGGGGGGTTCAATCAGAGGGAAACGATGTCCACTTCTTTAAATAACACAGTGACAGTCATTCGGAGGACGGACAGGCTTCAAACATTCTATTAAAGACGTTTCCTCCAGGCAGAAATAAAACTGACACCAGACCGTCTCCAAATCACACAGACTTCCTCTGCTTTTACCAAGTCAAGCTTCAGCTGCAGGCCGTGGCGCTCTGGATCAGTAGAGTACTGTATTAAGTGCCCTCCAGCGTCCCATCTGACCCGGCTACTGCTGAATTAGCAATCCCCGCTAGAAACACACCACAGTCTGAAATGAGTGTGTCTGCAGGGAGCAGTGTGTTCCTCTAACCGCTCTCACATCCATTCTCTGAAAAGATTTAAATGCCTGATGTGTGGCTGAGCGCCGCCGGACCTCAGACTCCCAGAGGCTCCTCCGCCCGCCCCCCTGTCCCCCCCAGCAAATGAGGGTTTTGTAATTACTCTTCAGCACTTTCACTTCCTGTAAAGATGGGGGGTCGCTCAGGGTGAAACCCATCAGCAGGAGGAGGAGATGGAGTCCACAGTTATTTAAGAATACTGACTCGCTGCAGGCTGAATCTCACCAGAACACACGACCTGCAGCTGCGTGAAACACCAGCGCTCACACACAACGCCGACCCCGTGCTGTAGGAAATACAGGTAAATGCTGAGGGCGCCGTCAGCCACAGGGGGCGCCACAAACAGGAAGAAAAAGATCTAAATGTTTCTCTTTTATTGTTTTTTACTAATGCTATTATTCATAAATACGACACAAAGCCACAACAACATAACGACACAGCAAATCAGCTGTTTGAAGGAGAAATGTGTCGACGTTTTCAAAGGAATATAAAACAGATATTAGAGATGAATTATGACGCATCATCTATGGTAAAAAAACTTTTTATTTATTTTGAAGATGTTTTTTCATGTGACAGAAGGTTCTGTTAAAGGTTGTTACACTCGTGTATTACTGAATTTGTGCTCATTTAAAGGTGTGAGGTGTAACGAAGGACTGGATTCATTTATTCTTTTATAGGGTATATTTCTGTGTTTCCATGGAAACAAAAGAAAAACACTGATATAAAAACATCGGTATGAGCTGTTGGCCAAATTGACATTTTAAAAAATTGGTATCAGTCTTGGTAAAGAATTTAAAAATTGGTGCGTATTTAGTTCAATCAGAAAATTAATTTGTACATTTTATTATTATTTTCTCCCAGGACACTAAATGTGCTCAGACCGCCCTGCCTTTCAGACTTTTAAAGGATCTGCAGAAACCCTGTACTTCCTGTAGTTTGGGTGAGATGGAAGATTATTCCAGGAGCATCTGAGCGTCGGTGTCGGTGGAAACTTTCCTATCATGATTTAAATCAAAAGTTGATCATATACTTTATAACTTTGCCCTCCACGTCCCGCAGTTTGACATCAATCATCAGAAGGAGGTTTATGAAGCATGATCCTGCTGAGGATTAAACTCTGAGATCAAACAGCTTCTTCTCCTCTCACCATAATAATATCTTTACTTTAAAAAGACGCCGAGCCGACTGCCGTCTCCACAGGAAGTGACTAAGGCATGATTTTATATGAAGTACTACTCTTCATAATGGACGGTGTCTCTGGGAGCTGTGCGGGACCTTGTGCCACGCTGTCACCTGCTGGAAGCACAGGTGATAAATGGCTCTCATTACACCTGGGACGCAGCTCCACATATAGAACTATTAGCACAGCTATTTCTGCTAATGGCTGCGTTGCTCTCCTCCAGATAGATCAATTACAGTGTGTGGGCCGTGGTCTCAGCCACCTCTTAAATCAATTATGGGCCATTACGTTCAGCAGCCAGGACCTGTTCTGTGGACCTCCCAGTGATCGGGGCCACTGATGGGCCCCCGGAGGGACGGACGATGAAGCAGTGTGTCACACATGTCCAAGATCCTCCTCTGTCAAACTGTGATCTCTACGGCTGGACTGTCTGAAGCTGATATGAACTGTTTGAAGCTGATGAACTGTTTGAAGCTGATGAACTGTCTGAAGTCGATGAACTGTTTGAAGCCGATGAACTGTCTGAAGCTGATGAACTGTCTGAAGCTGATGAACTGTTTGAAGCTGATGAACTGTTTGAAGCTGATGAACTGTCTGAAGCTGATGAACTGTTTGAAGCTGATGAACTGT